CATGCGTGCCCCTGCCACAAAAAGGAGATATATTTTTTAGTACCGACCACCTGAGAAGTACCAGATTTCCCCTTTGTACCGGTAACTTGGGCGCTTACTGGTTGGCCAGAGTCAAGGGAGCTTGAGGTCCTAGCCTAAAATACATTTTGTTCGGTGGGGAAGGGGTTGGTGCTTAGGCTGTCAAAGCACCCCCCCCCCGCACCCGCAGTTTCTGGCGCTCCTGTGAGAAAAACTTCCAGCAGGCAACGAAACGTAGTTTTATACAGCCACACATAATCCTACTGATGTCAGAGTTCAAGCAGACGAAGGATAAGAAACAGTTGACCGAATTTTCAACAAGGCAATAGAAGGGGGCCTATATGCCCGATGCGCCTTAGGCGTAAAAAGGGATCTTTACTTTCAATAGATGGGGAAATAGAGGGTGGGGGCAACACATGAGTGGGGGGGGGGGGTGGGCGACACATGAGCATAAGCAGTCAAACAAAACAGTAAACGTGTGTAAGAATTAAACAAAAGCATCGTCAAAATTATCTCTTCCCCTAAAAATGATGTGTATGTGTGTGCCAACGCCGTCTCTAATAGTGCCTAACAACTCAATTACGTCACTTTTTGATAGGAGTCCCTCGGAAACTGGTTACTGGAAGCCCTTTCCATCTGTTGCATCTTGTGACATTTTAATGTGCTTACATAGTTCTGTGTTCTAAATGTATTCGTATTACAAATCGACAAGCCGATTTTGTGAAGTGGATATACACGGTATATTATAAATATTTTAATATTTTATTGGCCTCTAGGGTTTCCCTGGAATTGATTAACCTCGAGGGTACAATAAAATTAGAGTTCCTGAATGTGCCATGCAGACAGGGGACTGGTGGAGGCATCATTACAGCCCAGATACAACCTGAAGATGGCGGCAGATTTCCGTCTGACTGCCTCTCCCTTTCTTGCTCTAGTGATTGATGATGATGATGATGATGGTTATGATGATAATGATGAGGGTAGTGACGGTGATGTGATATGGAAAACGGTTTGGATGATGATTTGGTGATAATATAAAAACAAAATCGAATAAGACACAGAAACAAATACAGTATAGACATACTCTCAAGCACATAAAGATACATTCACACATGACTACACACACGCGCACACACATGTTTGTATGGAAACACCCACTAATGTTATCTAGTTATGATACCGATTACACAAAAAGTCTAACGCCGTTATCTTATCACGGGTTTACCTTCACTTAAAACTGTCACTAGTGTGTGACCTCTGCCCGGACACAATTACAAAATATGTTTTTGTTGTGGAAACCTGATGGCGTCGGTCCCAGCACTGCTTCTGTGGTTGCCATGTGTTAAAACATTTCTAACCAAAATAGTTTAATCCTCAGCTGTAACACTGCATGCTAAAACATTTCTAACCAGAACAGTGTAACCCCTAGCTGTTTCACTGCATGCTAAAACATTTCTAACCAGAACAGTGTAACCTCCAGCTGTTTCACTGCATGCTAAAACATGTTTAACCCCCTGCTGTTTCATTGCATGCCAAAACATTTCTAACCAGAACAGTTTAACACCCAGCTGTTTCACTGCATGCTAAAACATTTCTAACCAGAACAGTGTAACCCCTAGCTGTTTCACTGCATGCTAAAACATGTTTAACCCCCTGCTGTTTCATTGCATGCCAAAACATTTCTAACCAGAACAGTGTAACCCCTAGCTGTTTCACTGCATGCTAAAACATGTTTAACCCCCTGCTGTTTCATTGCATGCTAAAACATTTCTAACCAGAACAGTGTAACCCCTAGCTGTTTCACTGCATGCTAAAACATTTCTAACCAGAAGTTTAACCCCCAGTTGTTTCACTGCATGCTAAAACATGTTTAACCCCCTGCTGCTTCACTGCATGCCAAAACATTTCTAACCAGAACAGTTTAACACCCAGCTGTTTCACTGCATGCTAAAACATTTGTAACCAAAATATTTTAACCTCAAGCTGTTTCACTCCATGATAAAATATTTCTAACCAAAACAATTTAACTCCCAACTGTTTTACTCCGTGTTAAAATGTTTCTAGCGAAAACAGTTTAAATTTCAGCTGTTTCACTCTATGTTAAAACATTTTTTACCAAAACGGTTTAACCCACAGTTGTTTCAAAACAGTTTTACCCCTAGCTGTTTCCTTCCATGTTAAAAACATTTCTAACCAAAACAGTTTAACCCCTATCTGTTTCCTGCCATGCGAAAATATTTCTAACCAAAATAGTTTAACTCCCAGCTGTTGCACCCCATGTTAAAACATTTCTAAGTAGAACAGTTTAATCTCCAGTTCCCCCCCCCCCCCTCTCCCCCACCTCCAGGAATTGCAGCTCAAATGCATTAGACTCACTGACTCAGCTGGCCCTAATCGGATGCGAATCAAACATGACAAAATCCCACAAAAACTGTTCAGCAGTGTAACACACACTTATACTGGGGCACTGGAGTGGTCTGCTGTCATATGCCGTTGTGGGTCAATGGATCCAGACTTGTCCAGTACACCTTCCCAGAAGCTCCCAATGACCCAGTGTAGTCTCCACGCCGATCTCACCTCGTAGGTTCAGTCAGTATACCCAACGTCTTCCAACTATACAACCTTGCTATGAACGAAAAGACTCTTATCCAACGTCTACCAACTCTACAATCTTGCTATGAACGATGAGTCTCTGATCCAACTTGTACCAACTCTACAATCTTGCTATGAACGATGAGACTCTTATCCAACGTCTACCAACTCTACAATCTTGCTATGAACGATGAATCTCTGATCCAACTTGTACCAACTCTACAATCTTGCTATGAACGTTGAGACTCTTATCCAACGTCTACCAACTCTACAATCTTGCTATGAACGTTGAGACTCTTATCCAACGTCTACCAGCTCTACAATCTTGCTATGAACGATGAGACTCTCATCCAACGTCTACCAACTCTACAATCTTGCTATGAACGATGAGACTCTTATCCAACGTCTACCAACTCTGCAATCTTGCTATGAACGATGAGACTCTTATCCAACGTCTACCAACTCTGCAATCTTGCTATGAACGATGAGACTCTTATCCAACGTCTACCAACTCTGCAATCTTGCTATGAACGATGAGACTCTTATCCAACGTCTACCAACTCTACAATCTTGCTTTAAACAATGAGCCTCCGACTTCTGCTTTTTCTTTGCGTTCCCCAGCAGTAAACTCGGGCAAGTAGTTCTGGTTTTTCGTCCATGTCTGAACTTTAGTCTTATTTAAGAACTTGAGTGTTGCGCGCATACCAGTTCTCCGTATCTGGCTTATTGTTGGCAGACTGTTGGTTGGTTGCTTCAGTGTCAGATGCACTCCAAACGATTGCAGGGATGCCAGCTGTTCCTGTGGCAAATGGCGAGATCTGCCTTTGAAGGCAACAATTGCTTTCCTCTAACAATCTACGTTATCGTGCTGCTATAATGTGTGTGGTCAGTGCAGCTTGTGACCTTCGTGTACAGTGTCCTAAGATGACCTCCTTTGTTCCAACAGCTTGAACTGATCACTACATCAGCGTGCAGATCTTCTTGTCAGACACCATGCTGATGATGTGTTGATATCTGCGATTTATTGTAACTGCGTAATTTCTCTGTCGCCGTTTGAAGCGATAACAGTTACCCAAGTACAGATTATCATCAGTTGCCTTGATGACACACTCAACTGGCTCCTTATTTGCCATGTGTAGTTTTGGCAATCACCGGGATGTGTAAAGTTTCTTCAACCAGTGCTTTATGTCGCTTGTTAGCATCACAACAGGGTTGTCTCTTCTAGGTAGGATTGTGTTGATGAAGGATTGATGTCAATATGACATCGTGGTTGTCTGTTTTAAGTAGGATTGTGTTGGTGAATGATTGATGTCAATATGACATTATGTTTGTCTTTTCTAGGACAGTATGTAGTACGGATATCATGTACAGATTATGACGTAACTGAAAATGTAAATAGAAGTGTGTAGGTGAAACTATTTTGATTCATTCATCCTCATCATTTCTGCAGTTAAGTGCCATGGTGAGGAACTGTGTGTGATCCACTGCTTTGTGGTCCTCAATTGCTACTGTCATTCCCTGTCGATGTAGGTGCTTTTTAATGTCATCAGTCCATGTTCTTCAGCGCGACCTCTTGCTTTCACTCAGATCTTTTCATGTGCAGCGCCTGCATTGGTAGTTGTTCTGACTGCATTCTTACTCGATGACCAAAACCATTTGATCTTTTTTGTTTAACAACGAATTTGCTTCATGATGTTGCTTCTACAGTCTACCTGATAATATAATTTTTAACTTTGTCTCAGATGTTTGAGTTGGCGGATTTTCTCAGGCATCTAATTTTGCAAGTGTTAATTGTACAATGGTTAGTCGTTGATAATGTCAAAGTCTGGCACTGGTAGCACAATGCTGGTATGAATATGCTGTCTATAATCTGTTTCTTGGCCCTGGTGCTTATGTTTGTATGTTTTATTATTGGTGTCACTTGGTATAAAAGTGCACTGGCTCGTTGGCATCTGTTTTTTTCTTTCTATTTCCTGATCTATTCTGCCGTCTTGCAAGAATATACTTCCTAGATATTTCAATTCTTTAACTAGCTTTAGACGTAGCGGACAAGGAATTCTGTTGACCTACATTACTTCAGTTTTAGTAGTATTTGTTGTCATGTTATGTCTTGTGTGTGTTGAAATGTTTTTGCAGTCTGCTTCCCTCACTGTAGAACAGGCTTTGGTCGTTGACAAATAGTATTTGATTCATTCAGTGTTCTATAAAACAATACTGTAGACTTAGGCTGACCGACTGACTGACAAAATTTCATCCCCGTAACACGCCAGAATAGTCGCTGACTGTACTTGCAAAAAACAGCAACCGCTATGTAGTCAGGGGAATGTTGAATCTATGCGCTCACTCACGAACACAATCGATATACTAGCTAAAGGAAGCAGGACGCCATCATGACCACAACTACGACCAGGAACAACAGCCAAACGTCTGCTGCTTCTTCTGCTGGTCACTTCGGTCTGAGAAACCTGGTAGCTCTGCTGAAGTGTGAAGGTAAGATGTTGACTTTCTCTCTTCTCTCTCTCTCTCTCTCTCTCTCTCGATCTTCTCTCTCTCCTCTTCATCTATCTCTCTATTTCTCTCTCTCTCCTTTCTCTCTCTCTCTCTTCTCTCTCTCTTTCTCTCTCTTATTCTCTATCTCTCTCTTATCTATCTCTCTCCTCTATCTCTCTCTCTCTCTTCTTCTCCTCGCTCTCTCTCTCTCTCTCTCTCTATCTCTCTCTCTCTCCTCTCTCTTTCTCTCTCTCTCTCGTCTCTCTCTCTCTCTATCTCTATCTCTCTATATATATCTCTAATCTCTCTCTCTCCTCTCTCTTTCCGCCTCTCTCACGCTATCTCTCTCGATCTCTCTCTCTATCTCTAAATCTCTATCTCTCTATCTCTCTCTCTATCTCTATTCTCGTCTCTCTCTCTATCTCTATCTCTCTCTATCTCTTCCCTATCTATCTCTTCTCTCTATCTCTATCTCTATCTCGCTCGATCTCTCTATCTCTCTCTATCTCTCTCTCTCTCTATCTCTCTATTTCTATCTCTCTCTCTATCTCTCTCTATCTCTCTGACTTTCTGTCTCTCCGTATGTGTGTATGTGTGTGTGTGTATGTGTGTGTGTATGTGGTCGTTAAGTGTTGTCGAGTGTTCAATAAAGAATATACAACACAGCTCTCGTGAAATTTCCATAAGCGCCCCGTCCCCATCTTCAGCAGCAAGAGCAGAGTTCCAATGCCAGTAGTTCCAGTAGCAGTCAAACCGTACAACACTCTCGCCTTTCCAGTCAGTGTTGAGCGTAGGCCAGATCCCCTGACCGCTGCTAGCAGCATCATGTTCCTTATTCCGTGATGATCTGTTTGCGCCCCTCACTGGTAGTGTTGTCATGTCAGCAAACTGCAAGAACACAGACAGTATTCAAGACTGGTGATCACATGAGAAGGCAAGCATGGCGGGCTCCGCCCAATGACATGACACATAATAATAATGTTGAATCGTTATTGTATCAATATGCATTTGCTTTAACTACGTCGGAGAGCATGTCAAAGACATTAAATTTATGTAGCTGTTGAATAAAACGCCATTGTTACCAGATGGCGCATTTGTATTTCTTGACGGGAAAGCCTGTACGCCTAAAAGCTATTAATGAGACAGCTGTGTTATTTCTTTTTTGAGTAGGAAACCTTCCCTGTAGCTTATCTCTGGGGAAACTTATCTCTCAATTTCTTCCTGGATACATTTATTTGTTTGATATTATCTCTGGGGAAACTTATCTCTCAATTTCTTCCTGGATACATTTATTTGTTTGATGTTATCTCTGGGGAAACTTATCTCTCAATTTCTTCCTGGAGACATTTATTTGTTTGATTTTATCTCTGGGGAAACTTATCTCTCAATTTCTTCCTGGAGACATTTATTTGTTTGATGTTATCTCTGGGGAAACTTATCTCTCAGTTTCTTCCTGGAGACATTTATTTGTTTGATGTTATCTCTGGGGAAACTTATCTCTCAATTTCTTCCTGGATACATTTATTTGTTTGATGTTATCTCTGGGGAAACTTATCTCTCAATTTCTTCCTGGATACATTTATTTGTTTTGATGTTATCTCTGGGGAAACTTATCTCTCAATTTCTTCCTGGATACATTTATTTGTTTGATGTTATCTCTGGGGAAACTTATCTCTCAATTTCTTCCTGGATACATTTATTTGTTTGATGTTATCTCTGGGGAAACTTATCTCTCAATTTCTTCCTGGATACATTTATTTGTTTGATGTTATCTCTGGGGAAACTTATCTCTCAATTTCTTCCTGGATACATGTATTTGTTTGATGTTATCTCTGGGGAAACTTATCTCTCACTTTCTTCCTGGATACATTTATTTGTTTGATGTTACCTCTGGGGAAACTTATCTCTCAATTTCTTCCTGGATACATTTATTTGTTTGATGTTATCTCTGATCGTCTCTTTTACTATTAACCATATCCTGGGTTCTGCAGGACACAGGACTCTCAATGGCGTGTCCGCCTTCACGCTGACAACCACCGTTCTGCAACAACTCAACACAGAATGCAGACGACATAGTCTGGCAGAAAGAGGCGACCCAGACAACACACAGAGAGACAGAAGTGATACAGAGGCAGGAGAACACCATTTTGTCTCTGCAAGCAGACGAGATGACCGGGAGAGGCAAGGCCACATTACGGATCGCACAGAATGGCACTATGACTTGCAGTTTGTCAAAGATTTTATGCAGTTTTCCCCGAATCTGAAGGTAAATAAGTACTGTCTATTTGTCTCGGAGACTCTTCTATCAAACTCTTGTATCGTACATGATTCCAGGCCACACAAGTACTGTCTATTTGTCTCGGAGACTCTTCTATCAAACTCTTGTATCGTACATGATTCTAGGCCACACAAGTACTGTCTATTTGTCTCAGAGACTCTTCTATCAAACTCTTGTATCGTACATGATTCTAGCCCACACAAGTACTGTCTATTTGTCTCGGAGACTCTTCTATCAAACTCTTGTATCGTACATGATTCCAGGCCACACAAGTACTGTCTATTTGTCTCGGAGACTCTTCCATCAAACTCTTGTATCGTACATGATTCTAGGCCACACAAGTACTGTCTATTTGTCTCGGAGACTCTTCCATCAAACTCTTGTATCGTACATGATTCCAGGCCACACAAGTACTGTCTATTTGTCTCGGAGACTTCGACACCAAATTTGTGTATCGTACATGACTCCAGGCCACACAAGTACTGTCTATTTGTCTCGGAGACTCTTCCATCAAACTCTTGTATCGGAAATGATTCTATGCCACACAAGTACTGTGTATTTGTCTCAGAGACTCTTCCACCAAACTCTTGTATCGTACAAGATTCTAGGCTACACAAGTACTTTCTATTTGTCTCGGAGACTCTTCTATCAAACTCTTGTATCGTACATGATTCTAGGCGATACAAGTACTGTCTATTTGTCTCGGAGACTCTTCCATCAAACTCTTGTATCGTACATGATTCTAGGCCACACAAGTACTGTCTATTTGTCTCGGAGACTCTTCCATCAAACTCTTGTATCGTACATGATTCTAGGCGATACAAGTACTGTCTATTTGTCTCGGAGACTCTTCTATCAAACTCTTGTATCGTGAGCACATGATACTCTATTTGTCTCGGAGAACTCTTCCTGCTAATCGTACCACACAAGTACTGTCTATTTGTCTCGGAGACTCTTCCATCAAACTCTTGTATCGTACATGATTCTAGGCGCATACAAGTACTGTCTATTTGTCTCGGAGACTCTTCCATCAAACTCTTGTATCGTACATGATTCTAGGCCACGCTTTACCTCTTCTCTTGTCTAGAGATGTTAACTCTATTATTGCTGTTGGTGGTCATGTGACCAAACTGCCTTGTTCTTCTCGCTACTTCATTAATTAGGAATCTTTCGAAGCTGAGTTATTGCTGAATTTACCGATGTATATTTGTATTTTGTTTATGTTTCTTAATCAAATGGTTCCCGTCTCCGGAAGACGCTCACCTCACAGCACTCGTTAATATTCTGTCTGTTGAGGTAACATGCACAAGTGACCCAGCCTATGTGTTTTATGTGTGAGACTGGAGCTCCAGCTTGGCACTAAACTCTAGGCAGGAAGTGAACAGGCACTGATCCGAGAAATGGCTTCGCTGATAAGCTCAGACATTTTACAGAGAAATATGTGATCTTTAAGACAAATCTGCAACAACTGAAGAATTCTACTCACATTTCAGGACATGCTGGAGCTGTGTGGTGGCGATCTGAGCGCGCCTTCCTCCTGGCCTCAGCTGAAGTTTGTCTCGCTGGTGTTTAACTCTCTGACTGAACTCGATGACTCGCTGGTAAGTCACCGGTCTCTTCACGTACAGCTGTTGTCAGTCACCGGTTTCTTCACGTACAGCTGTTGTCAGTCACCGGTCTCTTCACGTACAGCTGTTGTCAGTCACCGGTCTCTTCACGTACAGCTGTTGTCAGTCACCGGTCTCTTCACGTACAGCTGTTGTCAGTCACCGGTCTCTTCACGTACAGCTGTTGTCAGTCACCGGTCTCTTCACGTACAGCTGTTGTCAGTCACCGGTCTCTTCACGTACAGCTGTTGTCAGTCACCGGTCTCTTCACGTACAGCTGTTGTCAGACATTCTCTGTCCAAGCTGCATCTGTCTGGTAAGTCACCGGTCTCTTCACGTACAGCTGTTGTCATTCTCTGACTAAGCTGCATCTGTCTGTAAGACACCGGTCTCTTCACGTACAGCTGTTGTCAGACATTCTCTGTCCAAGCTGCATCTATCTGGTAAGTCACCGGCCTCTTCACGTACAGCTGTTCTCAGACATTCTCTGTCCAAGCTGCATCTGCCTGGTAATTGTAATCTTCGTGTTCTAGCAGGCAGTGTGTTTGTGTTGTGTTGTGTTTTGTTGTCTTGTGGTCCTGGGGATGCCCCATGGTTGTGTTCCCTTCATCGTCTGTGAATGTGGACGGTAGCGAGGCTGCTCACGTCAGATCGGTTGTTTTGTTACATGCCGGCTTGGCGGTAGACTAGTCTGGTTTGCTAGCCTGGGCGGTAGAGTAGTCTGGTTTGCTGGCCTGGGTGGTAGAGTAGTCTGGTTTGCTGGCCTGGGTGGTAGAGTAGTCTGGTTTGCTGGCCTGGCTGGTAGAGTAGTCTGGTTTGCTGGCCTGGGCGGTAGAGTAGTCTGGTTTGGCTGGCTGGTAGGGGTCTGAGTAGTCTGGTTTGCTGGCCTGGGTGGTAGAGTAGTCTGGTTTGCTGGCCTGGGTGGTAGAGTAGTCTGGTTTGCTGGTCTGGGTGGTAGAGTAGTCTGGTTTGCTAGCCTGGGTGGTAGAGTAGTCTGGTTTGCTGGTCTGGGTGGTAGAGTAGTCTGGTTTGCTGGCCTGGGTGGTAGAGTAGTCTGGTTTGCTGGCCTGGGTGGTAGAGTAGTCTGGTTTGCTGGCCTGGGTGGTAGAGTAGTCTGGTTTGCTGGCCTGGGTGGTAGAGTAGTCTGGTTTGCTAGCCTGGGTTGTAGAGTAATCTGCATGTATGTCTACTGCCTCTCTCAAACATGACGTACAACCATGTATGTCTCTACTGCTTCTCTTAAACACGACGCACAACTATGTATGTGTCTCTACTGCTTCTCTCAAACACTCATCGACATTGAAGTGAAACAGAAAGGAGTTAAAAAAACGTAACTGATAGTTTGACCATGTAGAACAAACTCATGGCAAATGGTAATGACAGCACAACAAAACCATCAAAATGACCTTTACTTCTGAGCGGCTCTGGTGTGCGCCCTTTTTTTGGGATGGTATCTCTTCCGAGTGTGATGTCACCCCAACAACCGACTGTTATGTCATCCCAACAACCGACTGTGATACCACCCAAACCCTATATGGTAACATGTCAGGCCACTGTGATGTCACACCAATTCACTGTAGTGACCCCATAATCAACTATATTGACCTCCCAACCCACTAAAGTGACACCCCACCCACTATATTGACCTCCCAACCCACTAAAGTGACACCCCACCTACTATAGTGACCTCCCAACCCACTAAAGTGACACCCCACCCACTATAGTGACCTCCAAACCCACTATAGTGACCCCAACCCACTATTGTGACCCCCACCCACTTTAGTGATCCTCAAAACCACTATAGTGACCTCCCAACCAGGAGTTCTCATGTTATAAATGACATAGTTTAATGTAACACACAGCTCATTCTGTAGCAAAGTCAGTACCCCTACCCCCTTTTTTAGTGTTGTGCTGTTTGCACGACAAGACCCCTTGTGGCCTTCACCTTTATTGTTAAAAATTTTCCATAGTGCTTAACAAGCACTTATATCTCCCCTTAGGGTCCCTACACTTGTTTCCCACGTACTTTGAGTCGTCTGATTTGACATCCTGTGACTTTCCCCGTCCAGCACAAAAGTAATTAGTCTACATAGGTAAAATTCCAATGTCCCGGCGAGCAAAGGTCGCTGCAGAAATCTGCAAAACAACGAGGGACAGGAGCCCCCTGTGAGCAGGCTAGTAACCCCCTTTATAAACGATTGCCCGGAACCTTTGAGGGAGACGAGACGGACAGGCCAGAGAATAGACACAGACGGAGGCAGGCCAGAAGATAGACGGGGACAGACAGAGGTTAGACACAGATAGAGAAGAGACAAGACACAAACAGAGATAGACTGAGGCAGAAGAAAGAGGACAGCAAAGAACAGACGAAGGACAGGCTAGAGACGGAGTGAGGAGAACAAGAGACAAGCACCGGCCAATTAAGCAGGGAAGACAGCATAGATAAGTAGATAGACGGCATTAGATTACAAACCTTTTTAGCCCAACCTGCACTAGTAGCCCGGTGGCAGTTAAAGACAATAGAACCAATTTACAAAGTAACTAGAGATAAAGAACACAACGCGAACCTACAAGTATTTAGTATTTAGGAAGAACACAGCGCCTTTCAAAATATCACTGATGTTAATTTGTAACATTGCTGAGATATAACAATAAATACAGTATAGACAAGAACAGTTGTTTCCAGACGTTTTGTATACCAGCCTCAGAGTTACGTGAAAAGCATGCAACGAGTGCTAGGCGTGCATCATCGTCACCATTAACGACACGACCATCTTTCTCCTCGTCTATCAAAATCACCAGCCACCCTTGTGACAAATATAACCGAACCTGGGAAGTTTATCATTGACAATGTTAAAGACGACTGTGTCACAATTCTCCTTGAGAGACCTGTTGTTACACACAGCTCGTTCTCCTTGAGAGACTTGTTACATACAGCTCACTTTGCTTGAGAGACCAGTTGTTACATACAGCTAACTTTGCTTGAGAGACCAGTTGTTACATACAGCTCACTTTGCTTGAGAGACCAATTGTTACATACAGCTCACCCTTGTCTGTCCTCACATTGCAGCGGCTGATGCCGCACGTGCAGGTGCTGGATTTGAGCCACAACTTGCTGCAGACCTGCGGCCAGTTCCTGGAGGTGAGTAGTCTCTTCTCTAGACAACCGACAACATCATGACTGACTGGTTGACTGGTTGACTGACTGGTTGACTGACTGGGGTTGACGGACTAGTTGGCGGACTGGTTGACGGACTGGTTGACTGACTGGTTGACTGACTGGTTGACTGGACTGGTTGACTGACTGGTTGGCTGACTGGATGACTGACTGGTTGACTGACTGGTTGACTGACTGGTTGACTGACTGGATGACTGACTGGTTGACTGACTGATTGACTGACTGGTTGACTGACTGGTTGAATGACTGGAACAAAAGCACTATCCTCATGTACTGACATCACATACTGCAGACTATCTTTCTGTGTGATGCTTTCAGTTTAGTTCCAAGAAGCGCAGACAAGAACAACCAATTAAATCAATATTCTGCTGCTAACATGTGTCACTCAGTTCAGTGAAAGGATACACACAGCTTTACTTGGTTGTTGTGTTGTAAGAGCAAGCATATTTAGCCCACAACTGGATTCGCTCTCATAACTTCCCCAGTGAGAGGCGGGCGTTCTACTCCATACCAGCAGTGACTGGATGATGATTCCTTTTCTTCTTTTTCTTCTTCTGTTTCTTCCTTCTTCTTCTTCTTCTTCTTCTTCTTCTTCTTCTTCTTCTTCTTCTTCTTCTTCTTCTTCTTCTTCTTCTTCTTCTTCTTCTTCTTCTTCTTCTTCTTCTTCTTCTTCTTCTTCTTCTTCTTCTTCTTCTTCTTCTTTTTATTCTTCTTCTTCTTCTTTCTTCTGCTTTTTCTTCTTCTTGGTTTGCGTGCGAAGACAAGGATTTTAAAGCTGGTTTATGCCTTTGTAACCATGAGCATCACGTATCTGACCTGAGTAGGCCTACGTATTTATGCCTCGCCGACTGGTGTAGAATGCAATCCTATTTCAATGAGACATTAGGCCAACATCGTCACATCTCAGTCACATCCAGACTTACTCAGATTCAACCCAGACTTCAGGCTAAGACACTAACTACCTCACCAGATTATTGTAAGAGTATATAAGGACAGCGAAGATCTCCTGTATGTTTCAGTGCCTTGTAGATGTGCAGCAGCTGTCTGTGGCCTACAACAGCTTGACACAGGTGCCCTGTCTGTCTGCAACAGCTCGAGTTTCTCTGACCTGTCTTGTGTTGAGGGGCAACAATCTCGACTGTTTGCAGGGTAAACATGACATGTTATCTTTTGTGCAGTCTTGTTTCCTTATTTTTATTTGAGAACATTTATTAAAAATTATTAATATTATTATTATTTATGCAAGGGAGTCGCCGTAGCAGCGCGGCTAGACGCGCACAGCGGATCGGAAGGCCGTTGGTTCGCTCCCTGGCGGAGCCAGACTTTTTTCAAAATTGACTTTGGGTGCCAGGTGGAACCAGCCTTGAGTGGATACAGGGTGCAGTCCCGGGAGGTAAAGGCGGCCGGCGTGATGACGACCAAATCACACTCCTTGCGCCGATAAGTCTATAAAATATAGGTCTAGCCCTATATGCCCTATACGCCTTGCAATGGGGGATATTTTCCCCCAGATTAGGAAGGTTGGGGGGTAGGCCCATGGATAACCCAAAACATCGAGATGTTCCAGATACTCTGATTAAACGAGGATCTTGAGATAGGAGATGACCACTAGTTATCACGGGTATCACGACTACAAAGGTCGCGCACGTGAAAGTAAAGGACCACCACGTGTTGCCACGTGAAACTAACCCGTGGTATAAGTCAGGCTTGATTATGGTCAAGTTTAGTTTGTGCCGACCTGTTGTAGCGAGAGGATGTGCGACTGAGTGTAAGAATGTCAACGTAAAATTGTTTGTTGCGAAAGGAGACCCTGACGACAAAGTGTGAAGTCATGATCAACCAGGCCAGTCTGTGTAATGGCAAGAAGCTCAACTTGACTTATTGGAGCCGACTCTGGTCAATGAATGCATGAAGAACCTGCATGGTGAAGGCTGCGTGAATCTGTGTGCGAGAGCTGTTTATTAGGACAACGAGTGGACATTGCTGTAAGTTGTAACATGTCGATAAATCGATGTTCGTACGGCTAAGTTGGTGTCGGCTTGTACCAGTTACGTTAACGTTGTGTGTGATAACAACATTCACGACACACGCAACTAAACACCCACTAGACAACGAGGTATTACAAACCGAACT